GGGGGGGGGGGGCATACATTTTGCACGCTTCTGTAGCCTTGTAGCAAGAGCGCAGAACAGTACCATTCTTCCCAGGTCTACAGTTGGAAAGTGAGATTTACTCCTGTTTGGTTTCTTGCCAGGCTCTAAGGGATGGAAATAAGCTGGCACAGATGGAAGAGGCGCCCCTTTTCCCAGGAGAATCAATCAAGGCCATTGGTAAGTCTAACAAGTACACTTTGCTTATAGAGACCCATAAAATGAAATGGCACTTTACTCGCAAGCACAGATGATGTATGTGCTGGAGATCAGCCAGACCAATTTAATTAGGGGACAGATGGACTAGACCTAGTCATTCTTATTAATGTCATCATGACCTTAAGAGATAAGGGACTGTAGAGGACCCATTTAAGCCCCGAACGAGTCTTAGGTGGCAGTACCAACAGAAGAGGGGTCCAGCTTTTCCCCACGAACTGAAGGCTGATGAGACTCTCACGGTAACGTCAGTTCGCTGCTTTGTTGGAAGGCTTCACTATAAGGAAAACGTATTGACAGACGATCCATATCATACCTTTAATGACAGTTTTGAGAATTTGGCAAAGACATTTTGGGGGCTTATAAGAGTCCAGAAAGTACAGTTTTACTGCAGGAAAAGGGCATGTGTCGCCACCCTGGATTGTAAGGGCGACGGCCTGAGGCGGACTGCCGGGACTGGAGGGGCGGGCAGCCGGCTGTGGCCTCTTCACCTCACGATCGCCGGGGTTAGGTCGGACAGCCTGGTTTGTGAGGCCGAGTGTCGCCTTCTTCCCTCATGGCTCTCTCCCAAAGGCGCGTGCCGGGTCTCAGAGCACGGTCATCTTGTGTTGGAGTAGCTGGGCTCTCCTATCAGGACCTCCAAACAACTACTCCTGCTGGATAGCCTAGTCTGTGGCTCAGGACTCTGTTCAGCCTGACCTGAGTTTCGAAACTGTTTTTCTCTTTGGCTTCTGGAACTTCATTCACTCCTGGTGCTCCTCTGGCCTCTCTGGGCTTTCCTCCTCTGGGAGCGTTTGTAGCCGCCCTGCCTCCGTGCTGCTCTGGAACAATCTGACTACAGTGCAGAGCTGATGATGTCATGCCTCTTCTTCTCCGGACAACAGACTGCGCAGATTTAAAGTGAACGTGAACAGTTTTGACACATTTATACACCTGGGAAATGATCATCACAGTCAAGATAATGAACATATCCATCAGCCCCCAGAAGTTTCCTTAGGCCCCTTTATATCCCTCTCTCCCGTGCCTTCTCGCCCTTCCCCAGGCACTATAGGCTAGTTGATATTTTCTAGAGTTTTATAGAAATGGAATCATTGAGTGTGTTCTTCTGTCTACTTATCCCATTCTGCATAATTATTGTGACAGTCTTCCATATTGTGAGTGCCGTGGGTCAGCAGTCATGCCTTTTCATTGCTGCGTAGTACTCCACTGTGTGGGTACACCACAGTGTGCTTATCCATTCATCTATTGATGGACTATTGGGTTGTTTCTGCTGTTTGGCTGTTACAAATAAAACTGCTATGAACACTCATGAACAGGTCTTCTCTGGCCTCGTGTCCCATCATCCTCGTGCACCCTTTGACCCAGCCACACTAACCTCTGGCAACTCACTGATCTCTCCTCCCTTCCCCTCTCCCGCTTCCCTGCTGAGTTAAGTCATTCCTTTTCTGAGCTCTTAACACATTGAGTCCACATGGTTCTGATAGCATTTATCAGGCTATATGGTAATTTTCTGTGTAGTATCTCTCACGGGTCACCTGGTGGGCAGGAACCTTGTCCAGTTATACCCAGAACCCCAGCAATAGGAGCCGCTCGGTATATAATGAGTTACAGAAAAGTTTATGCAAGTGTTTTGAGAGTTTGGCTGAATGACATCTTTAGTACCATTATTCATCCCCTCGGACTCATCTGTAGCTGTGTCCATTCCTGCCATTTGAATGGAACAGCACTTTGGGAAGATTGGGAAGATGTGGTATCTTTGTGATAGGCGTGAGCCTCTTAACATTCATAGGAGTCATATATGTTGTTGATTTTGATGTGAAAGATATTGATATTAACATTAAGAAAATAAAATTGATATGGAAGCTGATGAAGAATTTGAAGCAGTCTTTTCCCACTTCATTGATGTGGTTTTGGTTTTTGTCATCTGTAAAGCAGTTTCTTTGGAGGTGCATCAGGGGACAGTGTTTAGCTTTAGTTAGTTTTCATTAGCAGTGAGTTATGAAATGGTAGCCCAGGTTCTTCAGAGTTTAATTAATGTGTTTTTGAATGTGATTAATTTATCACTCAGGGAAAGTGTGAACCACTTGGAAAAAAATGACAAAATGTAACTTATTATGAGGCCTTTTACTTAAAACCTCAAGTAGCAAATCAAAATTCTGTTTTAAAAAACGGAATTTTATTAGAAGACTATCCATCTATGCCTTTATTTAAAGTAATGAAAGAATTTAAATTTCTAGAAAACTGGAATCACAAATTTATATATTTGGAAACCCATGTTAAGATTTATTGACACAAGTCAATGGCAGTAGATGATATTTTGGGTTTTTTCTTTCAGTGAAAGAGGTCATGTATATCTGCCCATTTGTGGGAGCAGTGAGTGGCACCCTGACAGTGACAGACTTTAAGATGTACTTCAAGAACGTAGAGAGAGTGAGTATTTAAAAGTGTGTTTTATTTTTTAAAATAACTGCAGAAGAAAGTAAACAATAAAGAAGACAGTAAATAGTATCCTGAAATCCCATCACCCTGAGAGAAACAGAGGGTCAGTTTTAAGATGTGCGCATTTGCAAGCAGATTTTGTATCTTAAAAAAAAAAAGGGCTGTTAAAGTAGCACTTTCACCTGCGCTGGGGGTGAGGGGGTTGTTTAATTGTAGTCTCAATGTCTACTTCACAAAGCAGGTTATAAATCAGACTTTGGTGTCTTAGCCAGGACCAAGAGGAAATGCGAAGTGAGCAAAGGTGGCTTAAGCCAGCGGAGACTTAAAATGGGAAAGCTCTGTTAGCCGACACTGATTGGCATTCATGTTAATTTGTGAACCCAGGACCCGCATTTCGTCCTCGATGTCCCCCTGGGAGTGATCAGCAGAGTTGAGAAGATAGGAGCGCAGAGCCATGGAGACAACTCTTGCGGCATAGAGATCATGTGCAAGGTACGGTCCAGACATGAGAGAAACCTAGAGGGCGTGGCTAGCTTGGAACTTCTTCACAGCCTTTGGGCAGTAAGAGTACTTTGGACATTAGTGACTCAGATGCTTTCAGGACCCAGACCTCTTCAGCCTTCCATCAGCCAGTTCAGGCCATTATATAAGCCGTTGAAGTAAACCGCTTCTTTCCCATTGAGGTGTTCTAGTTAACATGGGCCTGTAACCTAGGCGGTGACGATATTCGTTACATTTCAGAGAAATCAAGTGGAAAGCAGAGATCAATATTTTTTCCAGTTTGTCCCAATAAGACTAGTCTTCAGTCAGAGACCTCCTAAAGGGACAACAATATTCATAAATTCTGTGATTAAAAACACAGTTAAGTTTCTTGGCTATGTTGGAATTTGCACCTGAGCCATGCTTATTTTTGGTTTTCGCCCCTTCCTCCAAGGGGTTAAGTAAAATTTGTGTGACAGCTTTGACGAGGACTAGTCGTTTAAGAACCGCCTTAACTGATGTTTTATTCCCAATGACTTTGCCTCATGGAATACAGTTTATTAACAAACCCACCTGAAATACCAGGCAAGAGATCCTGCCTACAGCATCATCAAGGTCCCTCCCCAGCTTGGGGTTTGGATTAGATTCCTGGCAGTCTGTTTGCTTTGATCAAATCTCTGAGGAGACCTTCCTCTGGTTGGCCCTAGACTGCAGTTGAATCCACTTTTTCAAATAACCCTTTACTGTGCCAGGTCGGGAATCTGCTGGCTTTTACTAGGCTCACCTTGGGCACCACACGGCAGTCCTCCCCTACGACCAATCACTGCTGTCCTGATTCTCAGTCCAGGGTGCCGCATGCAGAGCAGTGCGAAGCCGTTGCAGGACTGAAACCAGAGTGGGGGGGGGGGCGGTTTGATCAATTCTGTAATTCTGGAACAGGTCATTTCCCTACTCAGAACTCTTCACTAGCTGCCCATTACCCTTGGGCTGGAGGAAAAACTTACTTACGGAGACCCCGCGGTGTGAGCCGGACTTCCTTTCCTCGGCAGCTCCCTCTCCAGCCACCCTCCCCTTGTTCTTGCCATCCAGGTTCCTAGAGTTGTGCACACTTGCCTGTACCCCCCAATCCCCACCCCACACAAACTCCTGGGGCTTCACACATGCTGTTTCCTTTGCCTGTAATGCCTTTCCCTGTGAGCAATCCTAACTAGCAAGTCAGCTCAGTCAGTGAGGTGGCACGTGTGTAGCCACAGAAGCTTGGAGGGAGGGCACAGCAGGAACCTAATGTTACTTAGGCAGATGTCCTGTGGCTGTTTTCCTATGGTATTTCTTGCGGCTGGGGCGAGTTTTTGCTAATAGCCTCTTTAAAATGTTTTCCAGCCTAGAATTACCAGGGCCGTGCTTAAACAGGTGATATGCAATTCAAAAAGTACAAAAACTGAGTGTAGTAAAAAGTAAGTTTCCCTCCACCCAACACCCAGCCACCCTGATCTGCTCCCTGCAGGCATCCACTCTTACCAGTTTCCACAGATGGCCTATGCACACAAGTATGCATTTGAAAATGTGAATGGTTGTATATTATATACACTGTCCTGCCCCTTTCCCCGCCACAACCATGTACCTTCTGTCTCCTTAAGAGCAGTATATAACGAGCTGCTTCTTGTTTCTAACAGCTCTGTAGTATTCCATTAGTGGTACTGTAGTACATTTAGCCAGACCCTGTTTATTTTTTATTTATTTACTTATTTATTTTAACATCTTTATTGGAGTATAATTGCTTTACAATGGTGTGTTAGTTTCTGCTTTATAACAAAGTGAATCAGTTATACATATATCCCTATATCTCTTCCCTCTTGCGTCTCCCTCCCTCCCACCCTCCCTATCCCACCCCTCTAGGTGGTCACAAAGCACCGAGCTGATCTCCCTGTGCTACGCGGCTGCTTCCCACTAGCTATCTGTTTTACGTTTGGTAGTGTATATATGTCCGTGCCACTGTCTCACTTTGTCCCAGCTTATCCTTCCCCCTCCCCGTGTCCTCAAGTCTATTCTCTAGTAGGTCTGTGTCTTTATTCCCATCTTGCCCCTAGGTTCTTCATGACCTTTTTTTTTTTCAGGTTCTATATATATGTGTTAGCATACGGTATTTGTTTTTCTCTTTCTGACTTACTTTACTCTGTATGACAGACTCTAGGTCCATCCACCTCACTACAAATAACTCAATTTCGTTTCTCTTTATGGCTGAGTAATATTCCATTGTATATACGTGCCACATCTTCTTTATCCATTCATCTGTTGATGGACACTTCAGTTGCTTCCATGTCCTGGCTATTGTAAATAGAGCTGCAGTGAACATTGTGGTACATGACTCTTTTTGAATTACGGTTTTCTCAAGGTATATGCCCAGTAGTGGGATTGCTGGGTCGTATGGTAGTTCTGTTTTTAGTTTTTTAAGGAACCTCCATAGTGTTCTCCATAGTGGCTGTATCAATTTACATTCCCACCAACAGTGCAAGAGGGTCCCCTTTTCTCCACACCCTCTCCAGCATTTATTGTTTGTAGATTTTTTGATGATGGCCATTCTGACTGGTGTGAGATGATAATCTCATTGTAGTTTTGATTTGCATTTCTCTAATGATTAATGATACTGAGCATTCTTTCACGTGTTTCTTGGCAATCAGTATATCTTCTTTGGAGAAATGTCTCTTTAGGTCTTCTGCCCATTTTTTGGATTGGGTTGTTTGTTTTTTTGATACTGAGCTGCATGAGCTGCTTGTAAATTTTGGAGATTAATCCTTTGTCAGTTGCTTCATTTGCAAATAGTTTCTCCCATTCTGAGGGTTGTCTTTTCGTCTTGTTTATGGTTTCCTTTGCTGTGCAAAGGCTTTTAAGTTTCATTAGGTCCCATTTGTTTATTTTTGTTTTTATTTCCATTTCTCTAGGAGGTGGGTCCAAAGGGATCTTGCTGTGATTTATGTCATAGAGTGTTCTGCCTATGTTTTCCTCTAAGAGTTTGATAGTGTCTGGCCTTACATTTAGGTCTTCAATCCATTCTGAGTTTATTTTTGTGTATGGCGTTAGGGAGTGTTCTAATTTCATTCTTTTATGTAGCTCTCCAGTTTTCCCAGCACCACTTATTGAAGAGGCTGTCTTTTCTCCACTGTATATTCTTGCCTCCTTTATCAAAGATAAGGTGACCATATGTGTGTGGGTTTATCTCTGGGCTTTCTATCCTGTTCCATTGATCTATATTTCTGTTTTTGTGCCAGTGCCATGCTGTCTTGATTACTGTAGCTTTGTAGTATAGTCTGAAGTCAGGGAGCCTGATTCCTCCAGCTCCGTTTTTCTTTCTCAAGATTGCTTTGGCTGTTCGGGGTCTTTTGTGTTTCCATACAAATTGTGAAATTTTTTGTTCTAGTTCTGTGAAAAATGCCATTGGTAGTTTGATAGGGATTGCATTGAATCTGTAGATTGCTTTGGGTAGTAAAGTCATTTTCACAATGTTGATTCTTCCAATCCAAGAACATGGTATGTCTCTCCATCTATTTGTATCAACTTTAATTAATTTCATCAGTGTATTATAGTTTTCTGCATACAGGTCTTTTGTCTCCTTAGGTAGGTTTATTCCTAGATATTTTATTCTTTCTGTTGCAGTGGTAATTGCGAGTGTTTTCTTAATTTCACTTTCAGATTTTTCATCATTAGTGTATAGGAATGCTGGAGAGTTCTGTGCATTAATTTTGTATCCTGCTACTTTACCAGATTCATTGATTAGCTCTAGTAGTGTCCTGTTAGCATCTTTAGGATTCTCTCTGTATAGTATCCTGTCATCTGCAAACAGTGACAGTTTTACTTCTTTTTTTCCGATTTGGATTCTTTTTCTTCTCTGATTGCTGTGGCTAAAACTTCCAAAACTATGTTGAATAAGAGTGGTGAGAGTGGGCAACCTTGTCTTTTTCCTGATCTTAGTGGAAGTGCTTTCAGTTTTTCACCATTGAAGATGATGTTGGCTGTGGGTTTGTCATATATGGCCTTTATTATGTTGAGGAAAGTTCCCTCTATGCGTACTTTATGCAGGGTTTTTATCATAAATGGGTGTTGAATTTTGTCGAAAGCTTTCTCTGCATCTACTGAGATGATCATATGGTTTTTCTCTTTCAGTTTGTTAATATGATGCACCACGTTGATTGGTGTGCGTATATTGAAGAATCCTTGCATTCCTCGAATGAACCCCACTTGATCATGGTGTATGATCCATTTAATGTGCTGTTGGATTCTGTTTGCTTGTATTTTGTTGAGGATTTTTGCATCTATGTTCATCAGTGATATTGGCCTGTAGTTTTCTTCCTTTGTGACATCCTTGTGTGGTTTTGGTATCAGGGTGATGGTGGCCTCGTAGAGTGAGTTTGGGAGTGTTCCTCCCTCTGCTATATTTGGAAGAGTTTGAGAAGGACGGGTGTTAGCTCTTCCCTAAATGTTTGATAGAATTCGCCTGGGAAGACCCTGGTCCTGGGCCTCTGTTTGTTGGAAGATTTTTAATCACAGTTTCAATTTCAGTGCTTCTGATTAGTCTGTTAATATTTTCTGTTTCTTCCTGGTTCAGTCTCGGAAGGTTGTGCATTTCTAAGAATTTGTCCATTTCTTCCAGGTTGTCCATTTAATTGGCATAGAGTTGCTTGTAGTAATCTCTCGCCAGACCCTGTTTATTGATGGACATTTAGGTTACTATTTCCATTCTTTCGCTGTTCGAAATAATATCACAACAATAACTTCCTCACTTCCCCAGTTGCTCTTGGTTTAAGTTGTTTGTGGGCGTAGTTATTTTCAAATTTGATGTAAGGTTAAAGAAGAATGAGATTTTTGTGTTTAGCTAATAACAACGTAGGTTTAGAAAGGTCAGGGGGTAGTGCTCAGATCAGTCCCAGGAAGAAACTGCACCGTCAGAGCCACCTCGTTGGCATTGCTCCTGACAACTTCCACTTGATCTTTCGGCTGGAAGCTCACATGGCAGGGTGCTTTCAGAAACCAGTCTTGAGAAACAGCATTATAATTTCTGTAAGGAAGTCACTGAGGGCCATACATGACACAGAGTCCTTGCTTTGAGTTCAGAGGAGAAACCTCTGTCGCATTTCTATTTGATGGATGGTGTGAATTCCGTAATTGACTCTTTTAGCAACTTAAAGCCCACAACTGATTGATTCTGTGGCACATCACCTTTAGCACGTAAGTGCACAGGACTTGATGGCATGTCTTTTATGTACTAAGCTTATTCTTGTTTCCATCTGATGAGGTTTTTTCCCAACACGTCCCCTTTGTTCCAGTTTCCTCACTTAATCTTTTATTATCTTGTTGGAGGTGCTTTGCGAATTGCCTTGGTATCCACTGGTGATTGGTTACAGGTCACCCCCCTCCCCCCCAGCAAATACCAGAATCTGGGGCGCTTAAGTCTCCTTATATAAAATGGCGTTAGTATTTGTATAGAGCCTACGCACATCCTCCTGTGTACTTTAAATTATCTCTAGATTATTTATAATACCTAATACAATGTCAATGCTATGTAGGTAGTTGTTGGCACTCTGCTAATTCAAGTTTTGTGTTTTGGAACTTTCTGGAACTTTTCCCCCAGTGTTTCTGATCCGTGCTTAGTTGAATCTGTGGATGTGCAGCCTGCAGATAGGGAGGGCCGACTATATTTCATGAGAAATGAATAAAAATATTTTATTTATCTCTTCATAGCGTGGTGTCTACTTCATAGGTACTCAATACATGTTGAATAAACGAGTTTTTCTAATTGTTTAACAGGATATGAGGAACTTGCGACTTGCTTATAAACAGGAAGAACAGAGTAAACTAGGGATATTTGAAAACCTCAACAAACATGCATTTCCTCTTTCCAATGGGCAGGTACGTACACCAAAATAAATCTTTTTATGTGTGGGCCTAAATGCCTTCGCAGAGGTCTAAACATTTCATGTTTAACTATTCTTTCTTCCAGAGGTTTCCTTATCTGTTTTCTCTCTGTTGGTAACTAATATTAGAATATTTAAAATCTGTCAGTTCTGTGTAGGATGAAGAAAACTGCCAACTTGTTGCTTCAAAATTTACAGGTTAAAGTAGGAATCTTAATACATTCAGCTCATAACTGAATGAAAAGCTTTAATAGCGGGCATATGACATAGCAAAGAAATGCTGACATATGTATTTTGTGGTTTTGTATCCAGACACTCTTTGCATTCAACTATAAAGAAAAATTTCCAGTGAATGGATGGAAAATTTATGATCCGGTATCTGAATATAAAAGACAGGTAAAGTGTGTTACTTATCAATTGGAAAATAATAGGTTGAGCATCTTTTTCCTAAAAGGGTAGAAATGTAGTGGAGAAGAAACCGTTTGAAATAAGTTGTCCATGGGTGTAACCCACCTAGCTTGTGGGTTCTTCAGCTCTGGATGTCCGTTCTCCCCATACCAAACCTTTGGTTATGGCACTGTTTGTTCTTCCTTTTTCCAGAGTGCAAGTGGAGTACAGGGACGGGGGTTGACAAACCAAACCAGCCAGATGGTTTTTATTAGATATTCTGGTAGCAAATTGATGAGTAAGGATCAAAACCAATGGTTTAAGTTAGATTTTAAGTATGTGGCATGGCTACATCAGTCTGATGAGGTGGTCCTATACCTAGAAGCCCTTTAGGGCTTTGTTAGTGTCCAGATATTTTCCAATAAGATATTCTTTTCATGGCGCTTACTCTTTGCCTGCGCCTTATATTTGGTATGGTGATTTTATATATTCCTTATTTTAGACATTTTTAAGAACTTTCTGCCTCTCTAAATGACTTCCATGGGTATTTTTAAGAACAGCACTAGGCTCATTTGTTATAGAAAACATGACAAGAAATGCATACGACTGGGATTCAGGTATACAATTTTCATGTTTTAGTATGTTTGGAAATTATGCTTCATTAGGTTTTTTTCAAAAAATGAATTAGGTAGGAAATGGGTTATATTAAATAAATGTATATTTAAACTTTTAAGTAGCAATGAACAATGAATTACAAATGGATTTTAGTAGAAAATAAGAAATGGGCACTTCCCTAGCGGTCAAGTGGTTAAGACTCCACGCTTCCACTGCTGGGGGCTCGGGTTTGATCCCTGGTCGGGGAACTAAGATTCCCACATGCCATGGCCAAAAAAATTAATAAATAAATAAATTTTTGAAAAAAAAGAAAAGAAGAAATGGATGTGGTTCATGCTTAGTACTTGTTGAAAGTGTAAAAGTGTGCTCCTCTCCACCCCCTGACTTTCCTCTGACACTCTGCAGGGCTTGCCAAATGAGAGTTGGAAAATATCCAAAGTAAACAGTAATTATGAGCTCTGTGACACCTACCCCGCCATCATTGTCGTGCCAACTAGTGTAAAAGATGACGACCTTTCAAAAGTGGCAGCGTTTCGAGCAAAAGGCAGAATCCCGGTAAGTAATAAACATTGCCATTTAGATATAAATGTATACTGTATTCGATCTAATATGGAAAAAAGCAAGACAGAAAAAAAATTAGTGAATCATCCTTGAGAAAATGCATTCTTTCTTAGATACTGAGTGCAAGGCTCTACCTATACTGGAAGGGGCACTATTGCAAAAGTAGACAGCAGCCAGCAGGGGGTGAAGTTTTTTAAACAACTTTGTTGATATATTAAAAAACCTCCATGTGTTTAATGGATACAATCTGATGAGTTTGGATATATGTGTACACCCAGGATTCTATCACCACAGTGAAGCAGGGAGCGAACGTTTTTGAGACCCGAGTTTGTGCTCTGGTTATAACCCTGAGTCACTTGGCTGCTGGAGGAAAATGGGAGGTTTGGGGGCTTAGCTTTAGATTTCATTAAGAGACTGTGTATTTACTTTGTCCTCATATGGCCACGTATGCCACTGTTGAGATCCAAAGGTGTTTTTAAATTAGGAAACAAAATAAAACTAGTCAATCAAATAGAAATGGGGCTTGATGTCAGTCATAGTTTGACTTAGTCTCTGGTTTTCTTAGAATCATAGAATTTTAAAGGTAGGCGGGGATTCTTAGAGCTCATTTAGTCAGACTTCTTTCAGCCTGACCCAAACATTGAGTCCCAGAGCCACTCTCACGCTGTCCTCAGGCTGACTCCTCCCCTTTGAGGAAAATATGCAGAAGCAGCTGTGCTTGAGAAGAGCACTTGTTTTCACTACCTGGTCATTAGAGCACGTATTATTTTAGGACCGTACTAATAGTTATGGCTTTCAAACACTAGGTGTTGTCATGGATTCATCCAGAAAGTCAGGCAACGATTACCCGTTGCAGCCAGCCACTTGTGGGCCCTAATGATAAACGCTGCAAGGAAGATGAGAAGCACTTGCAAACGATAATGGATGCGAACGCGCAGGCTCACAAACTCATCATCTTTGATGCCCGGCAAAACAAGGTCGCCAGCACCAACAAGGTACGTTATTGATACTGCTGCAGCAGTTTTTCTTCTGTACTGTTCGTAAATCATCATGCCGTTCAAATAGCCCAGTGAAGGTGGACTCTTGCAGTGTAGCCCACAGCTGGGCCTCCTGGGTCCCTAGCCCTTGGGAATCCTGTCGTCTCATTGCCCCTCCACAATCCTGTCTGCTGAACTAATTAAGTAAAGACCCAGAAAGAGAATGATCGCCTAGAGAATCTAGTAAGTATTTTAATGAAAGGATCATGAGGCCCTTGGAAGTCCCTTTAACCTGTGAACTATAGTGATTGCTGGATTAATTCGTATCTGCCTGAAGTTCTGTTAGATTGGAGTCAGCTATGTGAAACAAGGCAGATACACAAAGTTGCCATCTGCACCCAGCTCCCATCTGATCCCCACCAGCTGAAGAGGCCCAGGCTGTGCGGTCAAGCCTCCAGTACCCGCTTTCCAACGGGAAGGGCTCTGAACGGCGTCATTTCTGTTTCCCGCAAATGACTTGCTGAGAGTGTGGTCCTGCAGGCAGGCCTCTGGCAGTCAGAGTCCTGACCCCTCCACAAGGAGTCTCAGGTATGAGGATGGTGGCCACAGCCCTTACCATCTCATGCCTACCTGTAAGGTGATGCTCGGGTAATCAACATGCAATGAGCATGTACTAGGGACAAGGTGCTGGGGGAAACACCAGGACAGACAAGGCTACATGTAGGAGGTGCCAGCTCAGTGTTCTGGGGGAGCTCGTGCCGCTGGGCGAGGCTTCACAGAGGAGGTGGCATTTGAGCTGGCCCTGGGTGATCAGCGGGATGAGACGGGCAGGGCACTCTAGACAGCACGAGACACCTTCAGCGGTGCGCCAGAGCATGCCATTCATGAGAATGGCAAGAAGGGGGGTGTCTGAGGGTTCCCCCGCCGTGTCCCCCTAAGCAGTGCTTGGGGGTCTTTGTTTCTCTTGGCAGCCTGTGCCCCTTCTTTGCTCACTGATGATTCCGTCGTTGACCACAGTCTCCAAAGAGCCAACGTCTTGCGCCCGCCGTCTCACTCTCGGGAGGATCCCTTCCCTCTTACTTCAAAGAGCAAACAAGCCGTCAGGTGCGCCCATGGCCCTTGAGGCACGTGCCTGCCATGGGCCAGGCGCAAAAACTGCCAAGCGGCCCCCACCGTGAGGCGGGGTGGCAGGGGGCATCCAGCGTGCTCCGCGGGAGCGTAGAGGCAGCGTGGTTGTTTGTACCTGACCGTGGGCAGTTACTGCATCTCTCTAGACCACGATCCCCTCATCTGAACTGGGAGTGGCGGCACACCTCCTTCCTGGAGTGGATGTGAAGGTTGCATGGGTGCCTGTCCCAGAGAAAGCTTTCGGGTCAAGTTCACCATCTCTGCTACTGACCCGGAGTGGACGGCCCCATTCTCTTGACTCTCATGACATCTCTGCCCTGGACCACTCCCTCTCTGTACCCTGGCCGGCTCAGCCTCCTTCACTGCTTCCTCTCCCCCTTCCCAACTGGCAGATAGCAGCACACCTGGAGCCCAGTCTGGGGTCCTCTTTTCTCCTTTGCCCAATCTTGCTGGGCCATCTCCTCCAGTGCCCTGATTCTCAACACTCCCTATGTGTTCAGTTTGCCACCCAAGTTTCTATCATGCTCTGATCCCTCCTGAGGTCCAGATGGGATTTCCATCCCGTCGTCTGGTTGGCATCCCCTCCTGGCTGTCTCCCAGGTAACAAAACCTCAGTGTATCCAGACCAGCCTAAGAGACAGGGTAGTGAGAACCCTCAGCTTTATGTTCAGTTACATGTGGGGTTTCCTCCCTGCTCTGCCACTTAGTGCTCGATAGAACCCTGAGCAAGTTACTTAACCTCTCCAGAAGCCTCTTCTGTAACAGGGGAGGTGACAGTCTCATGTAGAGGGCTGCGTAAGGATTCAAATTGGGTGAGGAGAATGCACAGTGCCGGGTGTATCAGTACAGGATGCTGAGAGGCTAGCCCCACCCTGCCCCGGGGTCTGGCCTGGCACTGAGTGGTGGTGTCAGCTACTGAGTCAGGGAAGCTGGGAGAGGACCAGGGTGGGGAGAAAGATGGGCAGCGCGTGAGTTTCCTGAGGTGCTGAACCAGTGACCACAAACTTGGCGGCTTAAAACAGCACACATTTATGCTCGCACGGTTCCGGGATCTGGCAGCACTGTGCTCCTTCTGAAGGCTTCCGGGGAGATCCATTCCCTGCGTTTTGGGGCTTCTGGTGGCTCCTCTGTGCTCATGGCAACCGCCCTGCAGTCCCTGCCCCTGTCCTCCCACGGCCTCCCCCTCATTGTGTCTCTGGGTCTACTCCTCCCCGACCGGAACAGAGAGCTGCTGGCCGGTGGGCGGGGTCACCTCTCAATGGAGGACCCAATGGTGAGTGGCACTGTATGTTAATTCAAAAGTCCTGACTCCATTATGGAGGGTTTCAAGTCAGCTTTCTTCTTGAGAAAGTGAAGATGCAGGCAGGGAATTTCATTTTAACCTGTTGCAGTTGAGGAGCCTGTGTGGGGACAGTAAAGCTCTGGAGCTCAGAAAAAGGTCAGGTTGGAGGTCAAGTGGAGGTTGCAGCCTTGGAGGGGAGGGGATGAAGTTACCTAAGGAGCCTAGGCCATGTGAGCGGGGCCAGGCACCAGACCGCCTGAAATGCTGTCTGTGGAGGGTAGGAGAGGAACTCAGTGAAGGAAAGGGTGCTCCAGGTGGTCGGGAGGAGACCGCAGAGAAGAAGGGAGAGGTCCCAGATGCCAGGAGAGGACGAGGGTCCAGGAGAGAACTAGGGGGAGGCGTGTCTTAGCTTGGACAGCTGTAACTAAATATCATAGGCTGGGTAGCTTATAAACAGCAATATTTATTTCTCAAAGCTCTGGAAGCTGGAAGTCTAAGATCAAGGCACCAGCAGATTCAGTGCGTGGTGAGAGCCCACTTCCTGGCTGTAGACAGCCCCGTTCTTGCTGTGTCCTCACACTGCCAGAGCAGAAAGGGGCAAGCTCTGTGCCGTCTCTTCCGAGAAGGGCACCAATCCCATCGTGAGGCCTCCTCCTTCATCACCTAATCTTTCCCAGAGGCCACACATTCTAACACCATCCCATCGGGAATTCAGGTTTCAACATGGGAATTTCGGGGGATTCAGACGCTCAGTCTGCAACGTCTTGGGGGAGGTGTGTGGACTTCGGAGTCTGAGGGCATGGGAAACCTGTCCCGCCACTTGCTGCCTTTGGCCTTTGGGAGTTGCCAGCCCTCTCTGAGGCTTTGCTTTTCTCACCTGGGAATCCTCCCTGCTGCCCAGGATCGGCATCCTGGCGGGCCTTCACCAGGTGCTGAGCAGCTGGCTTGAAATCACGAACCCCTGAGTCCATCCTTCAGCTGCCTCCGTCCCAAGGGGTGTTAGGCTTTCTTCTCCCTGAGGGTTGAGGATGGCCCTGCCACCACTGCTGCTATGAGCTGATCCTTGGGGACTTGGGGGCCAGTGGGGAACAGTGTCCAAACATCACTGGCTTCCCTCTGGAACCCTGCTTTGCCCCCATAGAGAGAGGTCTGGCCAGCAGGTTCGAGTCTTTCAGGACTTTCTGAGCCCCCTCCCCCTGTTCCTGCTGGGGTATAGGTGGGGCCCCTTCTCACCCTCCTTCCCCCTCTTCTGTCTCCAGACCTCCGGGTGCCTGCTCTCTGTCCTCGCACAGAGTAGGCACTCATGCCCTTTTTCTCCCATGATCCCATTTTCTGATTGTCATTTGTCTTGTTTGGAGCTTTAGTAATCAGTTTCCAGGCAACAGACTGGCTTTAACTACATTCTCCTGGTTAACACCAGCCCTGAGCATGCACGCCCTCCGTGCTGAAGTGCTTTCTGGGTGTGGGGCCTCTGCCCCAGCCTCAGGTCTCCCTCAGGGGTCCCTGCCCAGCTCGGGGCTTTTCGAGGTAGGTGCTGGGGGAAGTTATAATACATCAGTGCCCGAGTATGGGGGGCGTGCACCGAGCCTTGCACGGATTAGCGTTCATTAAGATTGTTTAGTTAGTTAGTATTTAATCCCCACGGTGAGCCCCTGGAGTCTTTCTGGTGAGAAAGCTGGGCGCAGAGAGATGGTGAGGACCCATAGCTACTTGAGTGGCAGACCTGGGATGACGAACCCACGCTCCGTGCCACCAAAGCCTGTGCCTTTAACCCCTCGGCCAGCAGTGTCTTCAGTGGGCACCGAGGATATCGTTTATGAAAACATCATCCTGCCACGCAGGCAGGACCAAGCTCTAGGCTGCTTTGGGCACAGTTTGTGTTCAGAGTGTTCTGTTGAGTGAGAGCACCTCACGTCATCCTGTACCGGCCAGAGGACAGGCGCATCCAGACCCGATGACGACATTCTCTTCTTTCCCCGCCAGTCGTGTTTGCGGCTCCTGAGCTCAAGCAGGTCCTCGGCCCCTGCTCCGCCCCCGGTGGCTGGGCTCCGGTCCCCCGGCATGGCTGTGGCACGAGCTCAGGGCACACTCCCCTACCCCCGCCTCCCTGCCCACCCACCCCAGGCCCACACCCGGGCCGCCGAGCAGGGCCCCAGGCCCCGGGCTCCTGCCGGGCTCCCTGCCTCTCCTGGGCCCTCCAGGGGCTGGGTCAGCCCTTTGCAACTCTTTTTCTCCTGGATGGCCCTGCCCCACGCCCTTCGTCCTCGACCCTTCTGCACAGAACACACCCAGCCTCAGACGGGAACTGCCCCCCACCCCATCCCTACCTCCACGCCCCGGAAACTAGGGTGGCCTCCCCGCTGCGTCCTCCCCCGACCCCCTGCCGGCTCAGGCCACCCTGCTCTTGTGCCCACTCCTTCCCGTGAAGTCTGTCCCAGCTGTGCAGATAAGCCCTCCCCGGAGTCACCGTCCCCGTCCCCTCGCAGCTGGCTCCACCGTTTCCCTACCCCCGTGCCCGTCTTGACCTGGACTCTTCACGGTAAGGCCACCTAGTACCTTCTTGTCATGACCGCGTGAGCTTTTGACACAGTGAGTACCCTCTCCTTTTTGAAAGACTCTCTTCCCTTTTCTCTTTATCCTCCAGTCTTTTTTTTTTTTTTTTTTTTTTTTTTTGCGGTACGCGGGCGTCTCACTGTTGTGGCCTCTCCCGTTGTGGAGCACAGGCTCCGGATGCGCAGGCTCAGTGGCCACGGCTCACGGGCCCAGCCGCTCCGCGGCACGTGGGATCTTCCCAGACCGGGGCACGAACCCGTGTTTCCTGCATCGGCAGGCGGACTCCCAACCGCTGCGCCACCAGAGAAGCCCTATCCTCCAGTCTTTGGCTGCTCTCCTCAGTCTCTTTTGCTCTGCATTCCCTAAATGTCGGCCTTGCGCAGGCTCTGGACGTGACTGCTTTCCTCACCACACGTGCCGTCCCTGAGCCCTGGACGCCGTCCCCAGAGCCACCGCCCTGCGCCTCTTCCATGCTCCAGAGCTCTGCGTCCTGCTCCCGAGACAGCTCCACCGCTCAAAGCCCAGGGCTCTGTTCCTCCTCCAGAAACCAGTCCACACTTTACAGTTCAGTGCCTTCTAGTCTCTGCACAGCGTTGTGAGACAGTCACCACTATCTCATTCCAGAACGCTTCCATAGCCCCAGATGGAAACCCTGTGCCCACTGGCAGTCGCCGCCCATCCTCCACTCTCCCCAACCCCTGTCCCCAACACCTGTCAACCACTTATTTACTTTCCATGTAGATTTCCTTCTTCTGGACACTTCATATAAATAGAATCATACACTGTGTGGTTTTATGTGCCTGGCTGCTTTCACTTGGAGTGATGTTTTTACGGTTCCTCCGTATTGTGGCATGTATCAGTACTCCATGCCTTTGTGTGGCTGAAAAATAGTCCATTGTATGGATACAGCACAGTTTATCCACTCATTCATTGATGGACATTTGGGTTGCTTCCACCTGATACCTGTTGTGGATATTCCTGCTATGATTTGTTGTGTACAAGTTTTCATGTGAATACCTGGTTTTAGTTGTGCAGGAGTTAGGATTTCTGGACCAGATGGTAGTTCCGTGTTTAACTTTTTGAGGAACCATCAGACTTTTGTCCACAGAGACTGTACAGTTTAAATTTCTACCAGCAATGTATTAGGGTTTCGATTTCTCTATATTCTCATAACAGATGTGTTTTGGATGTTGACTTCTGCAAAATATAAGCTAATGTTAGACCAGATTTTGTTATGAGATTACCAAGGGGTGAGCCGTATCCCCCTTTTTTGTTACATTTGCATTTTATTTTACTTAAATTACTTAAATAAATCTCACTGTTTGGGATTTACAAATTGTTTTATATAGAAGTTTTGTGGTAGCACAACTTTATTTTTTTAATATTTATTTATATTTTTGGCTGCATTGGGTCTTCATTGCAGCACACGGGCTTTCTCTAGTTGCGGTGAGCGGGGGCTACTCTTTGTTGCAGTGCGCGGGCTTCTCATTGTGGTGGCTGATCTTGTTGCAGATCACGGGCTCTAAGTGCGTGGGCTTCAGTAGTTGTGGTGCGTGGGTTTCAGTATCTGTGGCACGTGGCTCAGTAGTTGTGGCTCGTGGGCTTTAGAGCGCAGGCTCAGTAGTTGTGGCGAGCAGGCTTACTTGCTCCGCGGCATGTGGGATCTTCCCAGACCAGGGCTCAAACCCGTGTCCCCTGCATTGGCAGGCGGATTCTTAACCACTGCATCACCAGGGAAGTCCACAGTACAGCTTTTTTATTCAGATATATGAATAGAACGTTTTAAAACCCAATTCGCCTTGTGTAAGATCCAGTTGTTAATCGTTTTCAAAACTGATGATGGGTGATGGAAGATTGTTGTGGGTTGAACTGTGTTTCCATTAAAAAAAAAAAAATGTGTTGAAGCCCTAACTCGTGGCACCTGTGACTGTGGCCCTGATTTGAAATAGGGTCTTCGCAAATGTAATCAAGTTGAGACAAAGTCGTATGGAATTAGGATGGTTCCTAATCCAGTCTGACTGGTGTCCTTATAAGAAGAGATACAGACACAAGGAGAAGGCCATGTGAAGATGGGGCAGAGATTAACGTATCTATAAACCAGAAACACCTGGGGCCACCAGAAGCTGGAAGAGGCAAAGAAGGATCCTCCCCAAGAGGGTTCTGAGGGAACACGGCCCTGCCAGTACCTTGATTTTGGACTTCCAGCCTCTAGAACTGAGAGAGGAGAAATTTCTGTCACTTTAAGCCACTCAGATTGTGGTACTCTGTTCCAACAGCCATGGGAAACTCATACAAGGATGTAGGAGGCTTATTATAAACAGATGAGTTTGTCGCTTCTTTAATGGTCTCTATCTGGTTAACACTAGAAAGAACAGAAAAGTTAACTCAGATGAAGTGACATATATCTTTTGTTTTCACAGGCAAAGGGTGGGGGCTATGAAAGTGAAAGTGCATACCCAAACGCAGAACTCGTGTTCCTGGAGATCCACAACATTCACGTGATGAGAGAATCGCTGCGAAAACTGAAGGAGATCGCGTACCCGGCCATTGACGAGGCGCGGTGGCTGTCCCACGTGGACGGGACGCACTGGCTGGAGTACATTCGGGTACAGAGAGGGCCCGTCCTTTACGTGCTTTCTGCTTAAGATTTCTCTGCAGCTGGGCCATAAAGCTATCTGTCTGTCTGTCTATCTGGGTGGTTTCTTAGCATTGCACATGAATGCATCTTTGCTGTGTACTTGGGCTTTCATAGTTTCCACGGGCAGCAGCATCCAAACTGTGGTCTTTGTTGCGGGGCGGGGGGCGGTTTGTGACATAACAGAAAGCAATAATGCTTGCCTCAGATCAGGTCTTTTTTTTTTTTTTTTTTTTTTTTTTTTTTTGCGGTGCGCGGGCCTCTCACTGTTGCGGCCTCTCCCGTTGCGGAGCACAGGCCCCGGATGCGCAGGCTCAGCGGCCATGGCTCACGGGCCCAACCGCTCCGCGGCATGTGGGATCTTCCCGGACCGGGGCACGAACCCGTGTCCCCTGCACCGGCAGGCGGACTCTGAACCACTGCACCACCAGGGAAGCCCTCAGATCAGGTTTTTAAAGTACTCTGTGGCCCTTTGATAAAGGACCCTATTTACTACTGTAGTTTGTTCTTAGTGTAAGTTTCTCTTTTTTCCCTCCAGATACTAACGTTTCCTAGTGATTCTTAAATTGATTGCATTCTTGTTTGGTTCATTGACCTGAACTTCCAGTGTTCTCCACAGAATTCTTTTTGCTGTAATAGAAATTAAATGTAGCCTGGTTTAATGTGCCTTCTTTTCTGAAGATGCTTCTTGCTGGGGCAGTAAGAATTGCTGATAAAATAGAATCTGGGAAAACCTCGGTGGTGGTGCACTGCAGCGACGGTTGGGACCGGACATCCCAGCTGACGTCTCTGGCCATGCTGATGTTGGACAGTTATTACCGCACCATTAAAGGATTCGAGGCTCTCATAGAAAAGGAGTGGATAAGCTTTGGACATAGGTTTGCACTGGTAAGTTGAGACAGGTGCATGCTTCATTGTTTTGCTATATCCTATGCATATTTGTATCACACATCACAAACACACACACACACACACACACACACACACACACACACACACACACACGACGGCTTTGTGCTCTGTGTGAGACCTGAATTGCCATAAGAGAATGCCATGGACCTCAGCATTGTATGTTCCTGGCAGGGCAATCTTGTTTTTTTTTTTCCATGTAGGTATGCCTTTATTTTTGTAAAGAATTAAGGTAAAATTCATATAACATAGAATTAACCATCTTAAAGTATATAGTGCCACGGCATTTAGTGCATTCAGTGTTGTACAACCACCATCTCTATCTAGTTCCAAAACATTTCATCACCCCCAGAAGGACACCCTGTGCACATTAAGTAGTCACGCCTCATTTCCCTCTTCCCGCCAGCCCCTGACAACCACTAATGTGCTTTCCATCTCCCTGAACTTGCCTACTCTAGATAACTGACATAAGTGGACTCATACAATATTTGTCTTGCTGTGACAGGCTTATTTCACTAAGCACAATGTTTTCAAGGTTTATGCATGTTATAGAACCTATCAAATTTTATCAGTAATTCCTTTTCATGGCTGAGTGGTATTCCATTGTGTGGATATACTGCATTTTGTTTATCCATTCATCTGCTGGTGGACACTTGGGTTATTTCCATCTGTTGGTGATAGTGAATAATGCTGCTGTGAACATTGGTGTACCAGATTTTGCCATACAAAGTACCATAAGACTGGGTGGCTTAAACAACAGAAATTTATTGTCTCATCATTCTGGAGGCTGGAAGTCTAAGATCAAGGTTCTGACAGGGTTGGTTTCTCCTGATGGCTCTCTCCTTGGCTTGCAGACGGCTGCCTTCTTGCTGTGTCCTCACGTGGCCTTTCCTCTGTGCACACACATCCCTGGTGTCTCTCTGTGTCCAGACTTCCTCTTCTTACAAGAACATGAGTCAGACTGGAACAGCCTCATTTCAACTTAGGGCCTTTAAGGATGCGATTCTCTCCCAATGCAGTCACATTCTGAGGTACTGAGGGTTAGGACTTCAACAGTACTGGACACACAGTGGTGCTCAGTTACGTGTATCCTCCAGTTTTAATCTTCTAGTGACCTTGCGAGGCAGATGCTACCATGGATAGATGGGGAAACTGAGTGTGAGCTATCTGCCAAGGTCACCCAGCTATTGAGGGTACAGCCAACCTTCAGGCAGGGGTTTCAAGCCTGCAGTCACTCACCCACTGGGTCTGTTTACTATTCCTTCCCTCGAGTTTCTGTGGATGAGCTCCTACCTGAAGCCAATTTCTCTCCTTGCCCACCTGTCCCGTCATCCGGCTCATGGGTGGTTCCTTCCTCCATCTCCCCTCTCCCCTTGATCATTTCCATTGATAGAAACGTGCTGTTACTTACCCCCCCTAAAACCCAACCCTCTTGACTGTGCTTCCCCCTCCAGGTGTCACCCTGAACATCTGCTCCCCACTACAACAAATCTGCACAAAACTAGTCTGTTCTGGCTCTCACTGGTTCTCTCCTTCTGGTCTCTCTTGAACCCGCTTCAGCCAGGCTTCCTCCTCACTCCCCTGCACCTTCGCCCTGCCACTGCTCTTGCCACAGTCACCAACGGCTGCCACTCTGCCAAGTGCTTCTCCTATTTGGCCTGAGCGTTTGATACTGGTCATTGCTCCCTTCTCCTGCAAACACTTTCTTCCCTTGGCTTCTAGGTGGCTGCAACCTTCTGACTTTCCTCCTACCTTCTGGTCCTCCCTCTCTCCCCAACTTCTTCCTCTTTTTTTTTAACACCTTTATTGGAGTATAATGGCTTTACAGTGCTGTGTTGGTTTCTGCTGTGTCACAAAGTGAATCAGCTCTACATATAAAAACATCCCCATGTCTCCTCCCTGTTGCGTCTCCCTCCCTCCCACCCTCCCTATCCCACCGCTCTAGGTGCTCACAAAGCACCGAGCTGACCTTCCTGTGCTATGTGGCTGCTTCCCACTAGCTAGCTGTTTTACATTTGATAGAGTTTATAAGTCAATGCCACTCTCTCACTTCATCCTAGCTTACCCTTCCCCCTCCTCGTGTCCTTAACTCCATTCTCTACCTGTGTCTTTATTCCTGTTCTGTCCTGAGGTTCTTCAGAAGCATTATTATTATTATTACCTTTAGATTCCATATATATGTGTTAGCATGCGGTATTTGTTTTTCTGACTTACTTCACTCTGTACAACAGACTCTAGGTCCATCCACCTCACTACAAATAACTCAATTTCACTTCTTTTCATGGCTGAGTAATATTCCATTGAATATATGTGCCACATCTTCTTTATCCATTCATCTGTCGATGGACACTTCAGTTGCTTCCATGTCCTGGCTATTGTAAACAGTGCTGCAGTGAACATTGCGGTACATGTCTCTTTTTGAATTATGGTTTTCTCAGGGTATATGCCCAGTAGTGGGATTGCTGGGTCGTAGCGTAGTTCTATTTTTAGTTTTTTAAGGAAGCTCCATACGCCTCTCTATAGTGGTTCTATCAATTTACAGTCCCACCAACAGTGCAAGAGGGTTCCCTTTCCTCCATACCCTCTCCAGCATTTATTGTTTGTGGATTTTTTTTAATATCTTTATTGGAGTATAATTGCTTTACAATGGTATGCTAGTTTCAGCTTCACAACCAAATGAATCAGTTATATATATACATATGTACCCATATCTCTTCCCACTTGCGTCTCCCTCTGTTTGTAGATTTTTTGATGATGGCCATTCTGACCAGTGTGAGGTGATACCTCATTGTAGTTTTGGTTTGCATTTCTCTGATGATTAGTGATGTCGAGCATCCTTCCATGTGTTTGTTGGCAATCTGTATATCTTCTTTGGAGAAATGTCTCTTTAGGTCTTCAGCCCATTTCTGGATTGGGTTGTTTGCATTTTTGCTACTGAGCTGCATGAGCTGCTTGTATATTTTGGAGATTAATACTTTGTCAGTTGCTTCATTTGCAAATAGTTTCTCCCATTCTGAGAGTTGTCTTTTCGTCTTGTTTATGGTGTCCTTTGCTGTGCAAAAGCTTTTAAGTTTCATTAGGTCCCATTTGTTTATTTTTGGTTTTATTTCCATTGCTCTAGGAGGTGGGTCAAAAAGGATCTTGCTGTGATTTATGTCAAAGAGTGTTCTGCCTATGTTTTCCTCTAAGAGTTTGATAGTGTCTGGCCTTACATTTAGGTCTTTAATCCACTTTGAGCTTATTTTTGTGTATGGTGTTAGGAAGTGTTCTAATTTCATTCTTTTACATGTAGCTGTCTAGTTTTCCCAGCGCCACTTATGGAAGAGGCTGTCTTTTCTCCACTGTATATTCTTGCTTCCTTTATCAAAGATAAGGTGACCATACTTGCCTGGGTTTATCTCTGGGCTTTCTATCCTGTTCCATTGATCTTTATTTCTGTTTTTGTGCCAGTACCATATTATCTTGATTACTGTAACTTTGTAGTATAGTCTGAAGTCAGGGAGCCTGATTCCTCCAGCTCCGTTTTTCTTTCTCAAGATTGCTTTGGCTATTTGGGGTCTTTTGTGTTTCCATATGAATTGTGAAATTTTTTGTTCTAGTTCTGTGAAAAATGCCATTGGTAGGTTTTTTTTTTTTTTAAACAAATTTATTTATTTTATTTATTTATATTTGGCTGCACTGGGTCTTCGTTGCTGCTCACGGGCTTTCTCTAGTTGCGGTGAATGGGGGCTACTGTTGGTTGTGGTTCACAGGCTTCTCATTGTGGTGGTTTCTCTTGTTGCAGAGCATGGGCTCTAGATGCACGGGCTTCAGTAGCTCTGGCTCACGGGCTCTAGAGTGCAGGCTCAGTAGTTGTGGCGTACAGGCTTAGTTGCTCTGCAGGATGTGGGATCTTCCCAGACCAGGGCTGAAACCCGTGTTCCCTGCATTGGCAGGCGTATTCTTAATGGCTGTACCACCAGGGAAGCCCACCATTGGTAATTTGATAGGGAGTGCATTGAACCTCAATCAAAGTAGATTGCTTTGGGGAGTATAATCAATTTCACAGTGTTGATTCTTCCAATCCAAGAACATGGAATATCTCTCCATCTGTTTGTATCGTCTTTAATTTCTTTCACCAGTGTCTTATCGTTTTCTGCATACAGGTCTTTTGTCTCCTTAGGTAGGTTTATTCCTAGGTATTTTATTCTTTTTGTTGCAGTAGTAAATGGGAGTGTTTCCTTAATTTCTCTTTCAGATTTTCATCATTAGTGTATAGGAATGCAAGAGATTTCTGTGCATTGATGTTGTATCCTGCTACTTTACCAAATTCATTGATTAGCTCTAGTAGTAGTCTGGTAGCATCTTTAGGATTCTCTATGTATAGTATCATGTCATCTGCAAACAGTGACAGTCTTACTTTTCTTTTCTGATTTGGATTCCATTTATTTCTTTTTCTTCTCTGATTGCTGTGGCTAAAACTTCCAGAAGTATGTTGAATAATAGTGGTGAGAGTGGGCAACCTTGTCTTGTTCCTGATCTTAGTGGAAATGCTTTCAGTTTTTCACCACTGAGGATGATGTTGCCTGTGGGTTTGTCATATATGGCCTTTATTATGTTGAGGGAAGTTCCTTCTGTGTCTGCTTTCTGGAGAGTTTTTATCATACATGGGTGTTGAATTTTGTCGAAAGCTTTTTCTGCATCTGTTGAGATGATCATATGGTTTTTCTCCTTCAATTTGTTAATATAGTGTTTCATATTGATTTTGCGTATATTGAAGAATCCTTGCATTCCTGGGATAAACCCCACTTGATCATGGTGTATGGTCCTTTTAATGTGCTGTTGGATTCTGTTTGCTAGTATTTTGTTGAGGATTTTTGCATCTATGTTCATCAGTGATATTGGCCTGTAGTCTTCTTTTTTGTGACATCTTTGTCTGGTTTTGGCATCAGGGTGAAGGTGGCCTTGTAGATTGAGTCTGGGAGTGTTCCTCCCTCTGC